TTTAAGGCATAAAAAAAAGTGTTTTAAAGTATTTTCACAGAAAGAAAAACTATCTTTGCATAGCGACATAGAGGTTTCTAATGTTGAACTGATAGGTCAGCTCTTAACCTATTCTTGTTGACTGAATAATTGGATGTAAATTGCCCCAAAGAGTGAAGCCTGTTTGTATGGCTACAGGCCATTTCAAAAAGAGAAGAAAAATAATAATAATGAGCGAACTGAGTTTACAGATAATAAAAAAAAACGCTGTGGTTTCCCCTCAAATAACAGAAGATTCGATTAAAAAATAAGGAGAATATTCTATGTTTGATAACTTAATTGAGTTTTTTAAGTGTAAAGTAATGTTACGTCGCTGGTCGTTTGTTAATTACCCGTAAAAATTCTTTCCGATAAACTTCAACGATACAAGTCCTTTCTTAATTAAAACTAGTTTATTCTTTCTCGTCACAAACTTTGTAACACACTTAATTTCCACAGCCACTTTAACTTAAACACACGCTATAATTCACAACGATTCACTCAGTATACTTAAGGTCACTACCGCTCACTTGACTCAATTATCTGTCTCTATATCTGCCTATCTGCAATTCTTCTCTCCGCTTTATTTTTCCGGGCTTATATATACAAAAATAGAGGGCGTCTGGCAAACACTCGAGCCTTCATGAACCTTCTAGAAACTCATCACTTATTACCAGGGTCACGTGACTTCTGCTGTTGTAACAGTGATGATACAGGACAGTTGTAAATAAATGAATAAACACTTTGTTATGAGAAACATACAGAAAGCACAGATGGATCGCAGTCGATTCTACTAGAGCGTGTTTAGCTCTACAACTTTTTTCTATCAGGACAGACTTCATGGAACTAAAATTCGATGACGAGGAACCCACTTTGAGACTAATAATGGTTGGAGACGGCTTGAATGGGAAATGAAAAAAAAACTTTAATATAAGTTTAACATAACAGCAAATGTACAACGTTTCGACAAGGGTTTGTCATCATCAGGTACAAGTAATTTACACTGACACGGATATATATATATATA